TCCTGAAAGGGGCGGGGCTTCAGAGCTTGGAGTAGGAGCGTCAGAAATGGGTGTGATCTCAGAATCCGGCTCTTCAATTATATTGACATCAGGTACCGGAGGTGAGAGAATATCGATGGGCGGGGCTGGTGTAGGCGTGGCAGGAGTAGGCGGTTCCTCGTGTATCGTCTCTTGCTCTGAACTTGTTTTACGATTTGGTCTCGAGGATCGGTTGGGGGCGTGGTCGGTTGGACTCGACTCAGATCTGAAGTAACATGATGTTGATATAGCAAACAAAGGCTGCATCACCACTAGATACAAGAATATAATAATGATACAAGAAATGAAACAAGAAAAATTGAGAAAAAAACTTTAAGTAAAAATGTACATGTACAATGTATTACAGTATAGCAAGGCTGCAAGTCTTGGCAGCCATCTTGAAGTGGGGTGAATCCTACTTAGTAACGCTACTGCCTTACTAACTACCGTATGCTGAGAAACATTTAGACTATAATTTTTTATTAGATTTTGCATTTCTTTGCTCCATCATGAAATGTACATGTACATGTAAATGTACACGTAAAGCTACATGCATATCTTCATGGCGTAATGAAAATGCCAAAAATATCCCAGACTATCAGAATAAAAATGAAATTGATAATAATGCATTACCTGATCTACAGAACCAGAATCTAACAGTTCCATCTAAATGACTAAGAGAGAGGGAGGGAAGAGATAAATATTGATAGTACCAGAAAAGAAGAATCTCTCATATTATACATGTACATGTACTTTTACATAGTATATGTACATGTACATGTACATGTATGTTTTTTAAATAATTTTACAGGGTCTTTGGCCCAATTTTTGAGCAGAACCATGTGGAAAACCCTGACACTGTTACATGTATGTGTGCATGTATATGTACAATACATGTACATGTAAGTAATTACCCAGTCAGTATAAGATCTGTCCAAGGATCTGGTGATTCATCTCCCCATCTACCACCTCTCAATGGCCATTGCTATAAATTAAATACAATATTAAAACATGATCATTATATGCAATTAATAATATATACTGTACAATGTACTTTGGTTGATGCTGGAGTGTGTGGTAGCAACCGATCTTCAGTGAGTGACCTCCTACCAAACAAAGATTACATGCTGCTTTATAAAGCACAGATTAGTAAAAGTCTATCATGGGTTGTACTTTAGTAGTATTACAATACAAGCAAGTATAAACACAATATCAGAAATAAAAAATGTCCTCATCCTTCATTAGGTGACTACAGTACATGTATTCTAATATACATTAAAATTCAGTAAAAATCCAAATTTGATCGGAATCCGCTCAAGCTTTCTACGCAACATAAGTACAGGTATAGGTATCAGGAAAAATAATAAAAATAAAAAACTCTGTCCTTTTCATTTTTGGCGAAATTTGGCCCGTGACCCTGTACCTTTGCCCAATTTTGGAGCAAATTAAAAAATTCGTAAAAAATCTAATTTTGATTGTATCAGCTCAAACTTCCTACACAACATAAGAGCATGTACATGTATATGCATCAGGAAATGCAATACACAAAAATTCAAACCTTGCCATGTTTGAAGAAATGGAATCTATGGACTATGGTACCCAATAACAGCTGATGAAAGTCTCATGGAGAAATGAATTTACCTACTAACAAACAATTGGAGGTGGGTTCAACATAATTATTGAGAGTCTTCTCTCTTGCCTTTCACGTCTAACTGGAACATCACGCTAATGTTTAATATGAAGTGACATACTGTAAACGTACATATCTCTGATTTGGAAATAGTATAGCTGGCCGTAAAAATCAAGATGAAAATGATACACATTTTTGAATGTACATGCACAATTAATAAAAATTGATAATGATAATGTCCACCCTTCATTAGAGTCTACATGCCCACCTTCCTTAATTAATGCCACGTCTCATTATAAATGCACCGATGCATGTAAATGTATGATACACCTCATGTTCAACCTCAGTCATGCTACATTTCAAATGTATTAACTAGTTACCTAGCCTCCTGCACCTGGTTATGATTATGTCTCTTTAACTCCAGGCTCCTGTTACTCGAGACTAGCTAATTTCCTCATTGTACTGTCTCTGGTAGTGGTAGACGCTCAGGTAGCCGTCAGTGACAATAGCTCAATCAGACGACATTTTGAAGAGGGGCATGGCCTACTTCAATAAAAATAAAATAAAAATTCGATTTTATTCATAATTAATTATGTTTAATAGTGATGGGCAATTCCAGAAATTTGCATTCGATTCCGATTCTGAATTCTTTTGAGACTGGAATCGATGGAATCGAATACCGATTCCGAGTATTACATCTGCGCATGCGCAAAGCCACGTGGTATCAATTACAGCAATAAAAATGCAATAATGATGAATAATTGAGGTATTAACTACTGATTAATTAACTATTTTTAATATTAAAGGGTGTGGCTGGGTGTGGTCTGATTCGGAATCGTTTCAAACGATTCCTACTTCTCTTTCGATACGAGTACGATTCCATTCGGAATCGAAGAATCGAATACTCCGGACTCGGAATCGCCCATCACTAATGTTTAATAACTGCATTGCTTTTCATAAAGAAGTCTTCTTGGTTTTGCTTGACTATCAGTATCTCCCCGGACCCTCAGCCACTAGCTAGAGGCTGCGTCCTTACCACAATCCCTCCAACACTTCCTTCATACTCTTCATATATCAAGGATTGACCGTCATGTCTTCAATAAGGAACAGCACTGCATGACTTCAGATGTACAAGGGCAAGAAATGGAAGACCTACTTCTTTAAAGTGACTGGATCTACTTACTTACATTATTTCGGGGAGAGTAAGGTACGCATATTGATCCTTAAGAGTGCTTTGTAGCAGACAGCATACATTGTATGTGGTGTTGGTATTATTTATGTATTTAAGGACTTTATAATTGTTGTTTTTATTTGAGAATGTATATATTTGTAATAACAGGTTCAGTTGTGGTTGTTGTTTTCCATCATACTTTGCAGACATTTTTTGAGCATTTGTAGTCCAACACTTCATAACTGTTTTTTATTGGGAGTGGGAGTGAGACAGAGGGAGAGAGAGAGAGGGGGGAAGTGAGGTATATACCGTATATAACACTTTATTTTTGCAGCGCTTTATTTTGGCAATTTTGCTGTAAAATTGTAATCAGCGGTTTTTAATTTTGCGATTTTTGTGTACACGTGCATTACTGAGCATGCGCATTAATGATTGGTGGTTTTAATATTGGTGATTCTGCTATACGGTATGTTTACAAGTATGACTTGTATAATAGTGAGTGGGCGTATCAAAGGCACCGCCTGTGGTTACAAATGTGATGTAACACAGCTTTCATTTGTAACACTCCCTGCGGTTTTATTTGTAGCCCTGTGGGTTGACAGAAAAAATCTCTTAAAATAAAATATAAGAAACAACATTATTGTACAGGTATTATAAGCTGAAAGTCAACTGTCAATAAAGCTTGCAATAAAGTCTGGCCTAGGTCCAGTGGCCCGCGGGAACGGACAGCGGGTACAAAGTCGGAACAATTGTGAGTCTCCGGAGTGCAGAAAACTTTAGATCGATTCACAGACCAATAATCCATGCAGGTAGAGTTTCACTGCTTTCCTTCCGCGTTGAAATCAATGGTTGACTAAGCCTCAATAATAAATATAGATGGCCGGGGAAGGTAAGATCGATACATGGCCGGTCAGCAAGCGCAGGATCTCTGTTCTAGACCTCTTCCAGACATTATAGCCTGAAAATAGTAAGATTATGTCAACCTAAAGCCTGAATCAGTCGGTAAAAGTACCTTTTTGTGAGCCTCCTGTCCTCCATTGCTACCATTTTACCACGAGGTGTGGTGCTACTGAGCATGCGCATTGGCGCGCGCCTTTGATACGCCCACTCACTACTACATAAATATGTTGATAACACCCCCGCTGCGGGATACATTGCATTTGTATGACCTCGCCCTCGGGCCTGCGGCCCTCGGGCTCGGTCATACAAATGCAATGTATCCCTAGCGGGGGTGTTATAACGTTTACTTAAAGTCAATGTAATGTAATTTTTAACACTAAGTTACTGGTACACTGTACATGTACATCAAGCCTTTAAGCCTACCACCATATACATGTATAAACCAACCTTTATCTGATAAAGAGAGAGAGAGAGATGGCCTGTGTCATTCTGCTGTTTAGCAAATGTCTGGCAGTGAGAAAGAGAAAAGGATCAAGTGTCAATGTATTGTTTCATAAACATGACTCATCCTGTTAGGCCAGTGAACCAAAAGATCAAATATTCCTCACTGCAGTATCTGCTGTTGAGCAGTTGAGGTCCCTTCAAAAGCTCCTAAAAATGGCAACTTTGTATTCGAAGTCTGTCACTCTGGCAAGAGCTCACCTTGGATCATCAGTGCTGATAGTGAGGTTAGTAGCAGTTATTATCAACATGTTGCTATAGAACTGATGACTGTGATGTGTAGAGTGACAAATGTACATGTACATGTTGTTAGCTGTTGGTCACTCTCACTCTCAGGTCTTTTATAAAAAGAGTGTCATTGACACACAATGTAATCCACTTTAAGCAGAGAATAACTGATAGTAACTAGCACACCTCTTATACTGTTCTAATTTTAGTGTGTGCATGTGCATAAAGGTAGATTTATAATATGACATTAGGCCAGCGTACCATCAATTTTTAATCAAAAGTGTGGGCGATTTGACCTCTTGATGCATGCTTTCCCTGGAATAGAACCAGATTCTAGTCTAGCGTCAATGTAACGTCAGGACTTGCATAATATTGTAAATCCACCTTAATATGTTATGCATGTAGCATAAAAATATACATGCAAGTAGATGCATGTATATCTTCTGCATTTGAGATAACACTATTTTAAATGCCATTTAATTAGCATTGACTCTTTTTAATAAACAAAATAAAATTTTGCAATTCTCCTTTCAGAATTACCAACTATACATACATGACCGTGTACATGAACAATACATGTACATGCATACTGTAGCTAAACCTCATGACTATGATGACTTAATGTCACATGATGTATATGCAGGGGCGTAGGCATAGGAGGGGCAGGGGGGGCAGCTGCCCCCCCACTTTTATTGACATGGGGGCTATGCCCCCCCCCCACTTTTACTTCACTGGCTTTTTTGAAGATTACACCATTTCAACTCAAAGCATATAATACCAATAAGCATTTCATAATGATAATGCACCAAGTCATTCAAGTCAATTTTAATTTTCCTTAAATGCATGGTTAGCTACCAGCTGAACTAATTCAAGTTAGAAAGAAATATTTAAATTTTATTGTGAGAAATTGCATGTATCATTGTCAACTGTGTGCGGTGCCTGCCCCCCCACTTTTCAATAGCTTCCTACACCTATGATATGTCCTTATTAGGAGGAGAGACGTGACTGGATGGAGACCATTAAACAAAACAGCACCACAATGCTACACAACTCACAGATCAAGGACATCCATCAAGGAAACAAAACCATTTTAAACCATGGAGGACCTCCCTCATCCCAACCGGGACATCACCAAGGCCACGGGTCAGCTACCATGGCAGCCAATAGATCCCCTAGTATGTATCAGAGAAGCTCATTACAATATGCTGCAACAGTATGGAACACACACACAGGTGCTACACAAGGTCGTAACTATTCAGAAACAGCTGTACAACCTTATCCACATAATAATCCACAGTTCCTGTCCCTAGGAGGGACAAGAGGAGCTTATGTAGGAGGAGGAGGAGGAGACTCGTATCAATTAACACAATCATTACCTTCCTCACCTTCTCTCTCACCCACCTCTCTGATACCTCTCACTCCACCTGAGATACAGCCCTGCCCTCCTGAGATGCAGCCATGCCCACACGAGACTGAACTACAGCCATTTCAAAGACCGATGTCCTTGTCCGACCGTCCACCAATGCCTGAGCCCTGTCAATTGATAATGGCAGGACCTCCGGCAGAGTATTTGGATCTGGTACAGCTTAATTATGCCAGCTGGGAGTAAGAGGATAATAGAACATAATGATGGAGGTTAGTTAGCTTCCTCTCTCTCCTCCCCCCTCTCTCTCTAAGACCATTATTGTGACTTCAAATTTTTAATTAGGGCCATTTTTAGAAAATGCCAAAATTTTGAAAATAAATTATCTTTGAAATGATAAGAAAGAGACAGAGATACATGTAGAAAGCAATGGCTAGATTACATGTATAATGTTATACATGTTGTTACAACTAGAAAATATAACAAACACGTAGTAACAATATACATGTATATGTACCATTTAAATATGCATAAGTATAATGCACATGTGAATGCCTGTATATGGTACATGTACATGTACGTGTACCATGCATATGTACATGTACATTTGTATTGGCCATCAAATCTACAAGTACTTTTGGAATGGGCATACAATCATGGTACATGTACATTATGTAAGTAGCTGTACAATGTATGCTAAGTGATCTTATTACATGCACATTCATGATGAAAAATGATTTTATTGACTGAAATATGAGCCATGTTTGCTTGTATAGCCATGAAATATTAATTATTAATAAGCTCTATTGTGCTGCAAGGACCCTTAACATTGTATAGCATGAATCAATAACAAGTACCGTATAGCGCTTTAATTTG